TAGTGAGATGGATTGTTCGCCAGTTACAATACACCACTGGTGACTTAGTAGTGGGCTCAACACATTCTCCACTGAGTAAGGGTCTCCACATAACATGCACATTATGATTCTGGAAATAATAACCATTAATATTTATAATAAATAACAATCTGCATATTCAATACATATATCAATACACTATATATATTCAATGTCTCTAAGGTGAGTATCAATACTTTATAACATATTCATCAAGGCAGATTTATATTTTTTCTAGATAAACATTAAAAGGTCCCTTATAACTCACCTGATATCTGGCTGTGAATCTCTGGGTAATGTTGCAGAATTGAAGATATTGAGGGAGTGATTGCGATGCTGTATACTGGTGATTAAGGAGCGAAGCGCCTTCGTGACCAAACTGCTGTCGAACCTCCGCCCTTCGCCGCCCCCAACACTCAGACCAACGTCCAGGAAAGTGCATTGCAAGCTGCCAGGGGGACTGTGTTTTAGGATAGCATTAGGGTTAGCCATTTAGTTCACATATATCTGAAGTCGGTTAAGAAAAACTTCAGCAATTAGCATTCTAGTAAGCTGATTTGACATTCATTGCACAAATTGGGCATACACAAGAGTTCACTTTAAAGCTCAAATTATTACACAATGCAACATAAAACTAAGATGCACAGACATAAAGCTAGAATACTATCAGCAAAATTCAAAATTATATATCTAAAGCTAGCAGACATTCACAGACATCTAATCTCTTCTATGTGATATCCATATCATCATCATCATCATCATCATCATCATGAACATTATCATCAACATTATCACTAACAACATTATCATCATCATCATTAACACATACACTGTCACTAGACAACAACAGGACACAAAATCTAACATGTTCTCACCTGTCTGCCAACTTTGCTCCCTCGTCATGCAGGTGCTGTGCTGCATTGTGGTCCAGGTCCGGGTCAGGAGCAAATAGGACGGTGATGGGAGGAGTTGGAGTGGATTCCTCACTTTCCAGTTGCGTTAAGAGTGACTTTTCTAATGATTCTCTAACATACTCCAATGATGCCTCATTACTGTATGCACATACAACACCTGCAGAAAATACAGACGGAATGAAAAGATGCGTTTCATAAATTGGTAGAATATATATCTAGATATATCAAAAGTGTAATAAAGCAAGGGACATTTTATATTAACAATAGCAATAGCAACTATAAGGTTACTGTGTTTTTCCTCTCCTCAGCAGAGTACATATACGAGACTTCTGTTTACATATAGATAGATATACTAATATATCTACACCATCTGTGATGATACATAGACAGTGCAGAAAGAAACAATTTTAACAACTTTTTAGAATAACATATTTCAATGATTCACAGTAAGCAAAAAAAAAAAAAAAACCTATCTTCTAGAATATGCATTAACTGCTGGGACTAAGCATGGAATCCTAGAACAGCATTAGATTCCAGCATCAATGATCTCTAAAATATGCCAACATTCTCGAGTGGGACTGAAAATTTATATCCAGAGTAATGATGATTTTTTTCTTTATTTGTAGAATAGAATATAGACACTTCCAAGAAACTGGTCATATAGACTGGGAAATTAATTGTCTTTAAGAAAAATCTTAGTATGTTTTTCCATTTTTGAACAAATGAATGGATAATTAAACCATGTTATTTTCTAATCTCATTTTCTTTGTATGTACATTGATTTTCTTTCTTTCTTTCAAGAGGGAAATAAGCAACCTTTATCCTAAAGAAAAGCAAAGGACTTCTCAATTTACATATTTCTATAAATTTCCAGTAAAGCATAGCACTTACCATGTGGAGAGAATTCTGGGGTCTTGAAGGAGTTTTGTGGCAGTGAAACATCCCCATCTATGCTGCGGTAGTCTAAGGAGAAGATCTGATTGTCGAGTTCAAATTCATCGTCTTCACAAACAGACTGCAAACCAAATGCAAGAGTAAAATGTGTTTACTTATATCCTAAGCATCCTTTTCTCCTTCAGTTGGAGGCAAACCCACTTACATGCAAACACACATGTACATGCTTGCATGCAAGCATACATTTCTTTTTCTCTATTCTTTCTTTCCTAATCAGTCATCAATTAGCTTTAAAATTCAGCTCAAACAGTAACAACATTTGGCAACAATATCACTGTAAACATGAAAACACATCATCTCCAGCAGATAAAAAATGTGGACTAAAAAAAGTATCATTATCAAACATTTCACACAAAAGAAAGTAAAGGAATTCCATTATAATTAGGTCTAATAATCAGCTTGAGCAGGACAATGACTGACCCGAATAACATTCTGGAGGTCTTCTGCTAGGCCGTGGTTGCCAAGAAGAACCAAATTCACTTGAGAATCCATCCGTACTCCGTAATCCAGATTCTTCCCACTCCATGTACCTGAACCTGGACGACTATTACTGGAATCAAAGAAGAGGGTATGCCATAAAATCATAAATACTTGTAAATGCTATGAGAAAAAGGAAGAGGTGTAATAACTCAGTGTAATTCAAAAAGGGAAGATGAGGAGGAGGAATAGGAGGAGGAGGAGGAGGAGGAGGAGGAGGAAGAGGAGGAGGAGGAGGAGGAGGAGGAGGAGGAGGAGGAGGAGGAGGAGGAGGAGGAGGAGGAGGAGGTGGATGAGGAGAAGGAGGAGGAGGAGGTGGAGGAGGAGAAGGAGGAGGAGGAGGAGGAGGAAGAGAAAAAGGAGGAAGAGAAAAAGGAGGAAGAAAAAAAGGAGGAAGCGAAAAAGGAGGAAGAGAAAAAGGAGGAAGAGAAAAAGGAGGAAGAGAAAAAGGAGGAAGAGAAAAAGGAGGAAGAGAAAAAGGAGGAAGAGAAAAAGGAGGAAGAGAAAAAGGAGGAAGAGAAAAAGGAGGAAGAGAAAAAGGAGGAAGAGAAAAAGGAGGAAGAGAAAAAGGAGGAAGAGAAAAAGGAGGAAGAGAAAAAGGAGGAAGAGAAAAAGGAGGAAGAGAAAAAGGAGGAAGAGAAAAAGGAGGAAGAGAAAAAGGAGGAAGAGAAGGAGGAGAAGGGGGAGGAAGAGAAGGAGGAAGAAAAGGAAGAAGAAAAGGAGGAAGAACAGGAGGAAGAACAGGAGGAAGAGGAGGAGGAAGTGGAAGGGAAAGAGCAGAAAGAGGAAGGGGAAGAGGAGAAAGAGGAGAAGGAGGAAGGGAAAAGGAGAAAGAAGAAGGGGAAGAGGATGGGAGGGAGGAGGAGGAGGAGGAGGAGGACAAAACAAGCAGCAACAGCAGAAAAGGAAGAAAAAAGCGGAGGCAAAGTAGGCAAGAGTTGCAGAAACAGATGCAACAGAACAAAATAAGAAGCAGAAGCAGAAGCAAATGAAGATAAACATGAAGAACAAGGACAAGAAAAAGAAGAGAAGTCAAAGGAGAGAAATGCAACATCTCACAATACCTGGCAGCTTTGTTGGCAATAATCTTCTCAATGAGGCAGTCCATACAGTTCGGGAAGGATGGACAATGTTCTTTTTTCGGACAATGGACAAAACCTAGATGTTGGAGTAGCAGTAAAGTTCTCTCACTCTCTAACCTGTCTAAAGCTTTGTATCTGAAAAAAACAAGAAATAACACAAAAGAAATATTAACTGACTCTAGAAAATGGATGAACTGGCTTTTTAAAATATATATATCAATAAAATATAGAATTATATGAATACTATAACACTTTTATACAAACAACTACGTAAAATAAGGTTTACCTGCTGTCTTCTTGTAATGTTTGAGTAATTTCACGAATGTCTTCTTGAGTAATAGTGCCCGTAGGTGCAAGACTCTTCACATGGTAAAAAAGTTCAGCCTGCTCTAATAACAACTCCTGAAAAGGCAACAAAAAATTCCTGAGGACTTTCCAAGCACCACCAAATTTATAACAAACTTTACAATGACAAGGAGAGAATATTTGTGCTCTTGAAGCATATTCAAATGAGAAACTATTACTGTAATAATCTAAAACTACAATGTTAAGTCCTAAAATGAGAGGAAAAGGCAAAAACAGACAGCACTTACATGGAAATTTTGTCTTGCTTTTTCAGTAATGTCCTTTTGGTGTTGTTCATAAATAAATTGTCTATCGTGTTCTGAGAGGGAGTCAAAGCTTTCTCTACCCATAAACAGGACACGCACTTCGTCGAGCCTCTTCCCAGGCGTAACATATCCAGTCTCCATCAGAAGAATCTTGAATTTGTCTCGCATCCTATTGGAGTAGATTAATTAATGCTAAAAACTTATCGTTGGGCAAAGATCACCATTTGAAACACATCATGAAAAACACACACAAAAATAAAACTAGGAGCAATCACCAAATCAAATATAGTCTATCAACAATGAACATCACAGTCTAAGCCCCTCACACAAAATATGCCTACCTAAACTTCTACACAACAGTGATATAAATATTAATACCCCTCTAGTAAACTTACCAACAGATCTGTATCAATAAAACTAACAATTACTTCATACTTTTGCTTACTGTATATTTTACAGATAGGTTTGTTTACCACAGTAAATTAGTATTCTATAATTATCTTCAGGCACCCATCATTAAAGGCACACTTTTTTTGCTGCTCAGTGTTTTATTCAATGTAAACTGGCATGACACAACTGGCTTTAATCTATACCATTCTGTTTCACCACAGAAATTAATAATCACAGCAACTTTTTGCATATAATCCTCTATTTCATACTATAGGGAAACTACCCTGCCCAATTAGTGTTAGACTATAATTTTGATACTAGCAAGTTTCATGATTAATTTGGGTACATACTGCCTGCATTTGTCCTTCAAATGTCAAAGGCAATTTACGACTCTGTTCTCAATGTCTACAGTCAATCTAATTGTTACTTCCTAACATGAAATAATCACTATACAAATTTAACAATTCAGTAAAAATCACAAAATCTAACTCAGAAAAGTTTCAAATTAGCAAAAATATAAAACACCTTATAACTAAGTAAACAACATAAAAACA